TTTTAAAGAAAAGAGCTTCCCAAGTATTACAATAAAAATATGATAAATCTCTTTAGTCACAAATGTTAGAAGAGCATTGCTTAATTGCATAATTTTATATCCTTCCGTGTCACAAAGGATGTACCTTACCACAATACCTTAATGAACAGAGAGGATATATTCTAATGACACATCTGTTAGCACATCAACTGCCAAAGTCATAAAACCATAGAGTCAAAAAAGAAGTACATTCCTGTACATGAGTATGAGGAAAGAAGGATTGATTAATAAAAATATTGGTTCTGATTGGTTGTACCAAGAAATAACATAAGCATCTGAGAGTCATAGGGCGAAGGAAAAAAAAGTGAGTGAGAGAGTTCAGGTTCAGCAAAAATAGAAACGGGACCCAACTTAGGCTGAGGACCAAAGACAAATCTAGGAGAGAGAGACAGAGAGCGCGCACCAGCGCACAAGCCCTGCTGTCTGCTGATTCGCATCAGGGCAAGAGGACCCTCCAGAATCCAGAAAGCATTAAAGCAGACACTGATCTTAGGCAACTGCCAAGATGACCTACAACGGCGACCTCCAGGCTAGTGTCACGGGAACTAAACGAAACATCTTCAGCTAAGCACTTTGCATTCGTTTTCAAGAACCTTATCCTCGAGCAGACAGAAGGAGACATTTACAAATAACAGGAACACCGCAGAAATACTGGGGAGAAAATCTATCCCTACTTGGGCAAGCTAAGGAAGTCTTCCTTCACAAAAGGTGACATTTGGCTTGGACTGTAATGAATGAGTGAAAGTTTACAAGACGACTAGGTAAAAATCTATTTAGGAGGTAGGGAAGTGGAGGGGGACACGAACAGATGGCAGTCCTAGTATATTGATCATTAAATACATAGAAAGGGGTAGTAGTGGGAAATGAGGCCAGAGATAACACTATATTAGAAACAGACTCTTAAAATACACACACACACACCAGGACTAGCCATTCCAGAGTCAGCGTTAGGAATGACCCAAGGTGATTTCAAAGTTTCAAAGCTATTATCAAAACACAGGTTTCCCTTGAAATTCCTCTAGCAGGGATATTGTATAAAAATAGACATAATGGGATTAAAATATTGATCGATGCCGAGCATTCTAAAGGATACCAATTAACTCAACCAATATACACATAAACATGGCAGATATTTATCTTAGTTTAATGAGAATAAACAACACTGGATGCCAGAAGTAAAGTAATGAGGCCCCACAGAATTGAGAAGTGGGAGTAGAAAAAAGAAAAAAAAAACTTTACATAATAATTTGTTAACTTTGGTTGAGCTTAACATCAAATAATCAGGTGAAAAAGAGACTTACAGAGTCCTGGGTACATAGTTTCTCAAGGAAAAGGAGCAGTGCAACAAAACTACTATTGAAGCAAGTGCTTTATAGCAGATTTCTCCTTTATTTAAAACTGGAATCTGGTAGCAACGCTGATCACTAGCACACAATCAGTGTAATTAGAGGAGCAAGTCACAGATCTATTAGAAGCCCTTATTCAAGTAAGGTGATTTCGTTTAAAGACAAAAACATACAGACATGAGCTAAGTAGATTCAATTAATCAAACACTACAATAAATTCAGCTATTAAGAAGCGGGAATAGAGCAAGTTCAATCTCGGGACTTGTGGCTCGAAGAGCCTCTCAGGCCTCCATCAGGAACAGGCTGCCCCATGCTCCCCTCTCAATTCCGGCCGTAACTGAGAGCCCCCAATTACTTCCCCAACTTCTCGCCCGATGCCTGACACGGAAAGGCACCAGCAGGTATCAGCCAATTACAAACAGAGCAGAAGGGAAACTGATGTCATAAAACCAAAGACCTGCTTATATTTCAATTCATAGAATGCCACATGTGCTTCTCTTTAACCTCTAAGACCTGCCGGATTGGTCAAATGTTTTATGACATAAGCTTTACCCAAAACGAACCGGAGTACACTGCCTATGGCCTGATGTGACTGCAAGTTGGTTACCAGAGAACTAAAAAAGAAATCAAAGTAATTCCTCACTAGAGGCGAAAAAAGTGTCACACTGTAGATAAACACCTGACATTAACATACTATGATGACTGACTTATAATCTAATTAACACGGCAACCACTGTTCTTTAGGTCATATGGAAAGGCTATGAACTTAGGTTAAAAATGAGGACACACTTTAAGAAGTTAGCTCCTAGAAACCTGAAATATGGTCAATCTATGTAACCTTATCCCAGGTAAGTGAATGTCTGCTAGGATGCCTACTTCTGTTTTCACTTTTATGTAGCTCAGCGATCTCTCCTACTTACTGTCTTTGACGACCCTGGAAAACCTGGCGCCCCCAAGTTGAGAAAAACTGTCTTATAACAAGAAATAATTAGAGCCATTCAAATGCAAACATCATTATTTTTTTTACTCATCACATTGTATTTCAGGTTAAGAAATATTTACAGGAAGAGAAAGCTTAACCGAAAAAAAAAAAAAGGTTAAGAAATCTAAGGGTAATATCCATTCACAAATGTCAATAATCTGATAGTCACAGAAAAGTCAGACACCAACTATACTTCTGTCTACCTATGTACTTATTTTATATATCTATATTTAATTGAGTATACAAAATGCTGGAACAGGTAGGGATATAAGTGACCAAGAAAATCATTGAAACTTCATTAGGTATTAAAAGGAAAATACATTTTAAAACTTCTATCATTTTAAACTCCGTTGAATCCCTTCTTTAGTCATTTAAATTTCATAACATGTCAATTAGATATTGTAGAAAGAAACCAAAACATAAACCATCAAAGTAGTCTTTCCCTGAAACGAACCTCAGAAAATACCTACTCAACAGAAGCCTTTGTCATAGGTTCAGGTTAAACTATCAATTTTATATATGAAACTTATACAACACAGCAGCCTTTAAATATTTCTCCATTTCGTTTAACAGCCCAGCTTTCACCCCGATTTCTGCTCCTCACAATCTGCACATCCACAGACGTTACAGAAAATATGGCACGTATCAGCTCAAGAGCAACAGGCGTGGCAGCCTCCAGCCTGCACTTCCTGCATGAAATCCCAAACCACAATTCTGTCTTCCCTCCCAAACCCCCAACGCTGCCCCATACTGCTTTCTAGGCCTCTCTCTTTTGTTCAAATCAACAACTCAAGCTCGAAGTTTCCCTATTTTATTGACTTTTCTTGGAAAAGAAACACAAACATAAAATGACAGGTTCTGTTATGACAATCGCCCTTTCTTCAGTATTTATTAACAAATCTGCTTTTTACAATGATGAATGGCTCCGGAAAGCCGAGAATTATCCTGAGGTATATATGAAAGAACTTAACATTTTTATAACCTAGTTACTTTGGAAATGAGAATTATCTAACCATTTTGTACACATGAAACCTTAGATATCTTTCATTCTCTTCATGTAAACAGACGACCGACCAAGCGTTTTGTTGTTGTTGTTTTTAATCAAATGATTTGATATTTTAATCAAATGATTAGTTGGTGCCTATCAGGCATGGGACTTCTTCAAATCAAATTCCCTACAGGAAAACTAATAATATGAGGAATTTCAGTCAGCTCAAAAACGTACATCCTTTTATACCATGTACAAAATAGGCCCCTCATCTCCCCAAATGTGAAACTTCTTAAGATGCAGTTTTCATTATCCAGGGTTTCCAGCAGTTCCTATCAATGATTATTTTGTGTTTCTACTGTTTGCAATAAAACACAGTGGCTCACACACTCTCCTAAAAATATAATAAAACCTTATATGAGTCCAGGTAAAAGGATGTACCTAATCACTACTTTGGTATTTATTAGCAACATAAACCATGCTAAGTTCGCTCTTTCACTTGTTATCACTGAGCAATGACGTGCCAGACACAGCACTAGGCACTGGAGATAAAGAGACACAAAAGACCTCACGGCTTTCTGGCAGCCAAACCACTACCTAACTACAGTGAGCCAGCAGTGAGTGCTACGAAAGATATATTAATGGTCAAATAATGTTCCAACATGGAGGGGCAATGTTTGTACAATTACAACGTGAAATTTTAAGCTGGTGAACTTAAAGATGGCTAAATATAGAACACAGAGTTTTCATCCTAATTATCCTGGACAAGGAAAATATTTTACACAAAATCATTTGTAATGATTTATTCCCTCTGGTATTACAATTACCTCTGTCTAGAAAATAAGCTTATTAACATGTTTGCATTCTGAGAGACAAAACCTTACATGGAGAATACTAAAGAATTCTGAGATAATAAGAGAGGATCAGGAATATGCATCAATATATCGAGTTCTTCTGCTTATCTATAATTTGGTCTACGACTTACATTGATAACGTCACAGAAGAAAACCTTTAAAAAAAACCTCAAGATTTCATGGAAGAAGAGCAGAGGTTCAAAACAGCAAATGATACTTATTATTTTCTACCTTCGAGTTAATTCAATAAAAATCAAAGGATAATATTAAAAAGTTAATAAAGCCTGTTTCTTGCACGAAACCTCACAAAAGTATTAATTCTGTGAAACGATTCCACTTTTAACTATATTTTTTAGCATCCCTAGAGATTCAACATACTGGCAACTTGTCTTTGTTTAATTTTGCAAATCTGGTCACCTTGCAAATATCTTATTATTGAAGGCTGGGACAAGTGAGATTTATGGATACTTCCTGCTGTCACTGGTGCCAAAACATTTACACTCAAGGAAATACTTGTTGAGCACTCAGGATTAACACCCACGCAGCAGTGCTGAAATACAGCAGAGTGGGGCTACATCGCAATTCTATCTTTGGGGATCCATGCTGAGGAAACCACATCTACAAACGGGCTGAGAGCCAATGATGGATTCTTCTGATAATTCGACAATGAAGCATCTTATCTTGAAATCCACGTTTTGGTATATTTAGGTTCCAGGTTATTTAACAAGTCATGTTAATCAATCCCCAAAAAAGTAAGAAAGTAAAGAAATATAAACACTAATTAAGATTACCTTTGCTCCAAAGATGACGAAAACATTTATCCAAAGGCAGATTCAGAATCACAAGGCAGTATTTCAAATTTCCTATGGAAAAAAAGGAAGTAAAATAGTTGATTGAGTCTTTTATTTTCCTCATGAGTCTAGAATTATGCTCTACTAGTCCAGATTTTCTATCTACACAGAGCTAAATTTCAACTACAGTTAATTTCTCATATCTTAATTTTATTTTTCTCTTACCTTAATTTTAAAAGACACCATAGATTAGCTGTATCTACTTTATTCAGTATCTGTCACATTACTATATTGCTGAGGAATTTATTACAAAAATAATTTATCATATAAACAATTGGGTATGCTTCTTTTCATGCATTTTACCTGTTCCCAATAAAATTACAGACTTCTGCATAAAGTAATCATTGCAAAAGAACTGAGCAGTTTAAAGATATTCTTTGACACGTATCGAAGATAATACAAATTCTACCGTAGCATAATCACACAAGAAATTCGCAGAACTGATCCCTTGTACCTCTTAGAAATGGATCTTAATGAGCTTCAAATACAATCTAACTAGCACTGACAAGAACTTTAGTCAGATGGGTACTAGATTTATTGAGGTGATCATTCATAAGTTATATGAACGTCTAATAGCTATGTTGTATACCTGAAACTAATATAATATTGTATGCCAACTGTAATCGAAAAAAAAAAAAGCATTAAAAATAAAATAAGAACTTTAGTGCAGGTAGGGAGAAATGGAAAGAGATTATAAAGAGACATGAACAGGGATTTATATCAATTATCACAAACGAAGAATCTGCCCATAAGTATATAAAGCAGTGAATCTCAACCTCATTGTATATGAGTCACAGATTGAAAAAAAAAAAACCAATAAAAATTATAATTTTTTATAAATAAATATAAATGGGTTGCTTTTTTAACTGATATGGTGTGAGTTTTTTAAAAAGGATTAAAGGCCAGTACTATAAGAGAAAATACATTGAAATGAAACACAATTTCCAATAGAAAAAAATTTACTGAAATGCATTAGCAAGTTATCAAGGGTTTATGACCTCTGTTTAAAAAAAATACTGGAACTCAGATAAAAATCAATATTGGCCAAAACACATGCCAGTCATTATACATAATATCTATTTTGTTAGAGGATAAAAAACCATTATTATAAATCTCTCATCCCTGAAAGTATTTCAATTAAATAATGAAAACTCTAGGGCATTGAGTTTCATTTTCATATTGCACAAACTTCTATATTTAAGAGCAGGATATTTCTTTAAGTGTGCACAGGGAAATCAAAACTGTCAAGTCGATTCGTACTTTGAGGAAATAAATTGCATGTGGACAAAGCAGAACTATTAAAAAGCTCTGAACAAATATTTCATACTGAAGTCTATTAAAATAATCAAATTAGCAATGGACTAAAAATTGGTAACTCATATATAGGAAATTGCTACAGAGAAAGTAAACAGAGTAGACATAAACAGATACTTCCCTGCAAAATCTCTCTTGCCTCCCATCCTACCACCAAAAGTGACCATCTGATCTACTTCAGGGCGCCCCTTCCACTGGCAAAGCGTCCTGGATTGGATGATATATTAGACGGTCACTCTGCCCTACCACAACTTTAGACCCCATATCTCAGTTTCGGTCTTCATTCAGCAAAATTCACTTCAATGGGTTTTCATCCCACCGCTTCCTGGAAATAACTATTGTCAGGGTCATCGACAGCCATCTATTCTGAAAATCAATGACTGTATCTCAATTCTCATCTCGGCCAACGCATTTCAGTAGCACAACAGAGTAGGTCGCTTCTTGCATCCTTTCCTTCCCGAATCGTGTTCTTCCCTTACTTTGTGGAAACCACTGTCTGCAGGGTCTCCTGCTGTCTCGCTGGCCACTCCTTTCCAGTCTCCTCTTCTACTGACTCCTCGCCTGAGCAGAAAGCCCTCAATAAATATTTGTTGCATAAACTTTGAGTATCCTCAGCTTCTGTACCAGAAGTGCTCTAGGTGTGTGTCCTTGGGCCTCGTCTTAATGGACACCAACTGCCCTAAGTAATGCCCTGTAGCCTGTGGCTTCATATACTACCTACGGTGATGGCTTCCACAGTCCTGTCTCAGATCTCAGGCTCTCTTCTTAAACTCCCGAACTGTACGTTAAATGGCCCACTCAACAACCTCAAACTTAACATGCCCCAAATCAAACTCCTGTCCACGCTTTCTTCATCCTCACCTGCTCCTTCCACTCTTGCCCGTACTGGTACCGACTTCTCCGGTGATAACCCATTCACGTGAACATTTTTCATCTCCAAATTTTATCACATGGCCCTGTAACTGGCCTTGCTTCTTCCACATTTGTCCCCCCTCCACACAGCAGCCAGATGGGTCCTGTTAAAATATAGTCGGATCGAAGCATCTCTCTCTGCAAAACCCTCCACTGACTTCCCTTCAGTAAAAGTCAAGTTTCTAACAAATCATCTAAAAGGCCCTTTGTGATCTCACTGTTCTTTCTCCCCACTTTATCTTGTCTTCCCTCGCTCTGTCCTCCCACTGCCTCCCTCTGTAACGTACACGCTAGCTTCCTTGTTGCTCCTCAGACAGACCAAGAACGATTCCATCTTTCACATTTTTACTTTAGCCAAACGCTCGGGAGACGCCTTTCTCAGACTAGATGCATATTATGCAAAATCTTCCAGGAAGGGTACTAGAAAAGACAGCAACAAAAACCATTCATTTTGCCTTAAAACAGCTAACTGATGTTTGGATCATTATAACTCAAGAACAATCTAAAGAAAGTGAAGACAATTCACAGAAGTACAACTATGTAATTAAAGCATTTGGAAATATTTTATTTGAAAATAGATTAAGCCTTTTCAAGCTAAACGGATATTTATATTTACTACCTTTTTAGGAAAGAAAGAAATCCATGCAACATGACATTGAGCCCTAGAAACCTGGGCACATATCTAGCTACTGCCACTCAACCATGCAGGTGGAAAGTGTAAATAGATTCTGAAAGGGTAAGTCAGTTTCCATTCCAGAGCATTACCTCCAACGACGCAGTGGGAATTGGCCTGTCCAAGTTCGGTAACCCGAGCATTATATAAGCTATGCCACTAAAACCGAAATGCCCCAATAAATACTCAAGGGAATCCACATATGCTAGAAATGCATGTCAGTTCAGAAAAAAAGAACATTCTGCATTTTCTATAAAGAGGGGGAAATAGGGAAGGCGGGTTAAGTCTGACGAAGCTTTGAGTCTTTGACGTAAAGGAGACTACGTCAAGAAATGTTCTCTCTCTTCTCCCTTGCAAAGGTCAGCCATATCCGCGTTCCCAATGAACACACGCTCACCACAACCCGAATGAGGGAAGCCGAGTTCTTAGTCTCGGCACACTGGCCGACAGAGTTCAAGGCTGCTGCATGGGCCGTCCCTGGCCCGGGCCACAACGAAGTGTGTTTCCCTTCAGTGAGTAAAACCAGTTCCTGCCCAGCAAACTGTAGATGTAATGTCACAACCCTAAGGGCTCATCATAAAGTACCAAAGAATTGCGGTCCCTCACATCGGTTTTGACATGTTGACGGCCAGGCCCACAGCAGTGCTCACACTTTAAAGTCGGTTTACAATGTCTCCTGGAGGCAGAACGCTTGTCAGTATGGCAAGTGCTTCCCAAACCGAGGGCCTGCCTTCATCCTCAGGCTGTTCCCGCAGCCTCAACCCACTTCCGACCACCTCGAAGGTGCAGTGTCCCTTTCACTGGGCAGCAGCAGGCGGGCCAGAGAGGCTCGGCAGGCCCGGAAGTACTCCCTTTCCGAATACTCTCTCTAGACCTCATGCTGGGTTTGGTTGAGTGATAAGTGTTCCGGGGGTAGGTGGGCTTCAAAGCACCATGGGCTTCCCACACAACTCTTTTTAAATCGATACTGACTACATAGCACACTACCACGAGATAAAAGTATTTCTGAATAAAATTGAAGTCTTTTTGTTTTTTAAAAAAAGAAAATACATACGTTTAAATTCAAGATAACTGTGTACTATGAACTAATTCTGATTACATACAGAGTCCATCATATCAAGTCAAACCCACAATGGAGAAAATCTTACTGAACTCAGGGCAGGTGAATATCTCCATCTCATGGGCACTGTGGGCTTTTAGAGGATTCGGAGGAGGCCCTAACATCAGCACGCAGAGCTGTGACACCAATCAGTGGTGTGCTCTAGGTCACAAGAAGTGCCTGACACACAGCACCTAGTGGCTCTCACACAGGTCCCGGTGAAGTAAACACAACAAAGCAGGTTCCCTACCGCTGCTTTTCTTTTTTCATAGACGTGATGATATATACACAAGAGTCTCAATATCCACGGGGTTTTTTTGTTAATAGAGAAAGAATGGAAATGACCGATGAGCACTGGATTATACTATATCTCACACAGTAGAACAGCTCTGCATTATCTGATACAGAAAAACCTCCAAACAGAAATAAGTAGAAAAAGCAAGGTGTGAATAAATGATGTTACAAAACCATATGTATAAAAAATTTTTTAAAAAAATACATATATATTTTTGCGAATACCAAGAATATCTATCAAAGAGGAAAACTGTTAGCTGGAACACCAAAATATAAGGGAGCATTACTTTTTACCTGTTTATCTTTTTTATCTTGTGGATTTGGTACCCTGTGCTTATATTACTTTTTTTAGAAAAGTGAAATAATAGTTTAAATGATAAAAAGAAAAGAACCTATCCCAGGCAATGTGCCCCACACCAAAGATGATGATGGCCAACATCTTTAAATACCACAGATTACAACGAAGAATTATTAAAATAAAAGGTCGTTTGGGTTTCAGAGTAAAAATTAAAAGCAGATAACTTGTAAAACACTATCTAGCATTCTGTCCTCCCCAAATCCTCAAGAAATGTATGTTAATTAGGCTGAGCTTTAGATTTTTTTTAAGAAGCAAGAGGAAGTGACTTACAACGGGATTTTCAGGACAGGGAACGGTGATGCCTTTCACTGTACTTTAAAGAACAAACTGTAGGTGTTTTTTTCCCCCCAACTGAAATATGT